CTTTTATGTTTTGAGTTTGTAGGCGAGGGTTTTGATCCGGATGGCAGAGTTTTTCCCTTGCACCCGTTGTTGTATGAGTAACTTAAGTAGATCTGGAGTATCCACGCCCCACTGATGGTTTGTCAATAGCTTGACGAACCGGGGAGGGTGTTCGTGTGTCTGGATACGAGCATGGTAGATCTGCTAGCAGCACGGGGGGGTACGTAGACAGGAGCATGCGTATGCCTGATAAAGGCTATTATGTGTGGGCCCCCTTCCCCGAATTCGGGAGGGCCACTTCTTCCCTTCCTTTCCTCGCTCCCGCGGGTGCCTAATCAGAGAGAGTTAAAGCGTGTCTTCTCCTCCCAAGTACGGACATACCAGATGGTCCTCTTGCCTCAGCACTGTGCGAGGGAGCGTGAGCGAGGTTACCCCCGGGTCGGTCTCTTGCTCGTGCGTTGTAGAGGAGGTGCTTGACAACTTCAAGAAGGGACGTTTGGGAGGTCGGATGGGCAATACAGAGCGTGGAGACTTGTGCAGAAGAGACGGCTCCTGCCTGGTTGTCGCGTGCTTCGACTTCTATGGCTCCCCCTGGGCTTGTTTTTTCCTTTTACAGTGATTATCCTTGGCCTGTTGCGTGGAGAAATAGTCGCTTGCCTGATATTGTATACAAGATCTTGCAGTAAGCGGTGGAAGGCTGTGAATGGGTGCTTCCCCCACGGCCGCGAAGTTTGGTAGGGCTTACAGTAGAACTCTGAAGGCCAGGTTGGGATACATATATATGCTGCTGTGCCCTCTTTCTGTACTGCTTTAAGGGCCCCCCTGTGTAACGAGATTCCCTGCACACAAGTAGCGGACAAAAAATCTCGTGACACACCCCTGTTTAGCGTTCATTGGACAGCCAAGCCAACCGTGCCCCCAATAGCGGTTATTGGAGCTGTTTTCAGCGAGCAACAGATGTTTTCGGTTAAAGTGTCGCAGGGCACAGGGTGTTCCTCGCCGTGCGCGCCGCCAAACCAAGGCGCCAAGCAGATACACAAGGCAGATGTTAACTTATGACCGATATCCCCGCTGCAGCACGAGGTTAGTATCATGGCGTTTACACGAATATCCCACGCGTGCCGTAGAGGCGAAGTGTACCCCATTGATTGGGTTTTCTCATTGGTATGGCAGGAGTAGGTTGACACAGGCGGGTAGTCTATAGTCTATGCCGGTTCGACGGTTCGAACCGTGTCTTCGAGCGGCTTGACTCATTTTTGGATGGGTTGCGTGCGTGCTGTGTGCTGCGTGCTGTGTGTTGTGTGCTGTTGCGTGCTGCGTATGTGCTCGCACAAACAGTACGCAACAGCGCATGTGTGCTCTCCGGGATCGCTCTCTCTGTCTTTGCCTTGTGGGCAACCAAGGGCAACCGATAATAAAAAAATCAAGCGATCGTACAATAGCAGTAGTAGTCTATATACACCACTCATTGGCTTCTAACCCTTATCCGTAGTAACCGGTACTAACCGGTGGGAGATGTGCACCAACAGATATGTAGGCTACATACGTCGTGACAAAATTGTCGTGAGTATGTCATGACAACGCCCCTGGGCATGTCATGAATACTCATGAGTGCTCATGAATCCCCATGAAGTCACTATGGTCTGCTGGTGTGCAACCCCCATGGGAATCACGCCCGAGCATTTCCGATTTCCCGACCAATTCATTACAATCTAGAGTTGCGGCGGGTATTATCAACCACCTAAGCCACCTCCCGCGCCAAAAGCTCGTTCTTCGACAGTAAAACCAACTACTACGAAGATATGCAGGTATCGAACGATAGCTAGCATCACCACCTTTCTGCCCCCCCCAAAAAAAAATCGTCGTTAGTGACGAGGCACCACTGTTTCCGTTTGCCCAAGTTGAAGTTGAAGTCTTGAGGGTAAAACGGCCCGGGGGGTATTAACAACCATATTGACAATTGGTTGATTGCGGCGGTTTGAAACCGTTTCAAGACCCAAGATTTGGCACACATGCGCCCAACACAATGGTAGTGAAGAATAATCAAGTTTTTGTTTTTTTCGGTGCCACCAGGGGATGAAAACTGGATATCCCCGGGTTATTGACGCAGATGTGGGGGGGGGAATTTGCCTCCCTTTGCCTGTACGGCATGATATGTGCATCGAAAACGAATTGATAATAGGATTGGGGCATAAACGGGTTGCTCCTGTCAATAGCCGACCACGACAAAAAAATCACACCGAAAGGAGTTGTTACGGTCAAAAAATAGTTGTTCAAAAATGACCCCGTCCTCGACCCCCCGTGTTCGCCTGCCGTGCCCGCGCCACCGCCGCCACCGCCGCCGCCGCCGCCGCCGCCGCCGCCTCCTTTTTCTTCCTTGCGCGCTCCCTGCCCCTCTCCACTTTCGTCTCGGCCTCTGTCTTGTCTGCGCGTTCTTTCGCGTCAGCCTTTGCCAGGACTTCTTCCGAGGTGATGTTGCCTCCGTCGGGAAGGCCGAAAGAGCCCCGCGAGGTCGCCAGTTTCTTGGCGCGCTTCCTCTGAGTCAGGAGACCGCCGAGCATCACCGTGCCTACCTTGAGTCCGGTTATGACATGCCCTCCCGCCTTCAACTGCCTCCTGCCCCTCTCTCCAATGGCCTCTTCCAGCTGCTCGTGGGTCATGGCGATGGGGACATCCTCTAGGGGTGGGCGCCCGGTCGGGCCCTCTTTCCTCTTCGTCGTGCCCTGAAGCCGGGTCAGCGCTCGATCCATGTCCACAGGCCACAGCCCCGCCCCGGCGAAGAATGCTTTGTTCCGCTCCGGTGTAAACCTCCTTTGCCAAGCCGCCGCGATCACGCCGGGCACGTCACGCTTCAGCGGTAACAACCCGCCGTTTGCGTGGTAGTAGTCTTGCAGCACTTAGGCACCTCCTTCTTGAAGGTTCCGAAAGCGACGACGTCCAACGACTGAGTAATGTGCGACGTGTGGGGGCAGCTGGAAGCGGATGATGTTGAGTTCCGTGGCCAATCTGATGACCTCGCAGCTCACGTGTGAGGCATGCCCATCAAGCACGAGGATGTGCGGCTTTCCGTCGAGCAAGCCTCGGTCGTCAAGCTGCTGGTGGAAGTCCTTGAAGTACTTGATGAACACGTCGCCCTGCATGAACGAAGAGTCTGTGCACGTGTACCTCGCATCCTTCGAGCCGTTCCTCTCGGTGAACCAGTCAGGCTGGAGTCGCTGTCCTTTGAAGATAATGGTTGGCGCCCACGTGGCACCATTGGCGCCGATGGTGGTGACCACGGTGGTGTTTTCTCGCGAGTTGGACCGCTCAACCACCTTCTGCCCTGCCTCCGCGAAGGCCTTCATCGTCTTCGTGCCTTGCGGTGTGGTACCTAATTACACCCGCGAGAGAGGGAGCCAAATCGCGTAGGTGGAGGTCAAGGGGGGTGACCAGCTACGGCAGATACATAATGCAAAGGTGTACACACACACAAACAAAATGCAATGGATAGTGTACCGCGCTCCTAGCAGGATAGACTGCGCTTCGCCGAAGGGGCGGGGCGGTCATGTATTTTTCGTGAAGCACGCTGCCACCTACTTTTGTCTACTTTCGTCGGCGGTAGTTGGACTGGACTAGCAGCAGGAAGAGCAACAGCAAGGTGTGCCTATTCTTTGCTCGGTACTCGTCCTAGACTCGTCTGCTGTACATCATTTACACACATGCACGCTGTCCTGCTGTACCCGCAAGCTACACTTTCTGCAGGGTAGACTTGCGGAACAATCGGCCAAAAAGACCATGCGACACAGCCCTTTCTCTATGGTACGCTTGTGTAGTTAGCAGTCTGAACTACTCTACTCTAGACCACTCTAGACCACAGCCAGCGTCGACTTCGGCAACATGGAACAGGTGCGAGGGCGCACAGCACAGGTGAGATAGAGCCCAGCAGTACATACGTACACCAGAAGGACGCCCCGTAGACTATCTTTGAAAATTTGGCCGCACACCAGAACTCCTCGAGATGTTGACATGCCATCTTCGCGGTCTTCGCACACGAGCTCGCACACTGAAGCTTCTAGTGATACCACAGTAGTCTAGACTTGTCAACAAGTACGGTGCCGGTCCGCACTTAAGAACCTCCTATATTGGGCGAGGCTCAGTTCTTATTGGCTACCCCAACCCGAGCACTGCATTATTTGCCAAGTTCTTATTTCGTCGTCCATTCTTCTCCAGGAAGGGGCGTTCTTGTTCTTAGGGTTAGTCTTACGGCGTGATTATTTCCGGATTGGATTTGGGGGGGGGGTCCTTTTCTGAGCCAAAAAAATAATTTGGGCGTCTTACGGGTGGGAAAATGGCAAAATCCAACAGCCCAAAATCCAACAGCGCAGTTTCCAACAGCGATTCCGGCCGAGCTGTTAGAAAATTGGCCCATTTTCTAACAGCGATCCTGTTGGAATATCGCTGTTAGAAAAGGGGGGGGGGTAGGGCGCGGCGCGATTTGAATTCAAAACNAACCCCATGCCCAGCCTAACGAGCACTCCATGCCGCAAAAGCAATCTGTCAAGAGCAACGGGTTTAGCTTCCTGATTACGAAAGCCTGCCGGGATGTCCATTCCCTGTATTTCATCCATCGGGTCTGGTGGGTCCATGCTGTCGTCGTCTTCCAGAAGAGCTAGCTCGTCGGTCTGGGGTTGAGAGATGTCTGCGAACGAGGCAACGGGAAACAGAAGAAGTTAGGGTGTCACGTCGCCAACCTCAACCTGAACTGATCATAATTTGAGTGTAGCCGTGCGCGGAAACAAGCTACCGTCAACATGAAGGACATCGTCATCAACAAAAAGAAGATGAAGAGTTGGTTTTGTGCAAAACAAACTTACCGCCGTCGTTATCATCGCTGGAATCAACGCCCTCCATGAGCACCTCACGTCCTCCATCGCCCTCCTCCGCCCGCCCCTCAGGCTCATCGTTGCCGTTCTCCGAACCTTGTTCGTCGTCGCTACTGTCTTAATCGTTAGCGAAGGTATACGGCTTGTCTAAACCCTCCAAGGTGATTCGATCATCGCCCGAGCCGTCCACGGTCATGGCCATCCCGCACTTTTCGAAAAGACGGTATCGGTACGCCTATTGGCTGTTGAGTCTTGCCATGGCCGCTCCCATCCACTGAGTGATCAGGACGCGCCGATCAGAAGCTGTCAGCGACGCGGTTTCCCACCTCTCGAGGTTGTTCGACTGCTCGAGCCATATGTCCATCTGCCTCCCGACTTCCACCTTGAGAAATCGTCCGGCTCCTGCATCAACTGGCTGCACCTCGTCCGTGCACTCCGAAGGGCCATACCAGGCGAGAGTGTTGCAGTGCACCGCAAGATACTCCTTGAACTCGTCCGTGGTCTGCGCGTGCAAGTTGTCCATGATAAGAATGGACCTCGCCTTGGGGAGCTCACCCCGCCCGCGCATCAGGCCTTCGCGGTAGGACCTCTTCGCCCACTCCATGCAGAACTTTTGGTCGGCCCACGCGTTCTCCTGGAAAAACACGTCCACGTCCTCGTGATACGCTGCCTTCTCCACCGGCGAGATCCGCTTTCCCGTGCCTCGGAAAATCACCGAAACACGCATGGTCTTATCACCCGGACCAAAGATACTTGCATCGTGCACTGCCTTTTCTCTAGGCCAGCAAAGGGCTGCGAGATTGCTAACCGCAACGCACCTCTCTTGTCCCACGTTTCTANGTCCACGTCCTCGTGATACGCTGCCTTCTCCACCGGCGAGATCCGCTTTACCGTGCCTCGGAAAATCAACGAAACACGCATGGTCTTATCACCCGGACCAAAGATACTTGCATCGTGCACTGCCTTTTCTCTAGGCCAGCAAAGGGCTGCGAGATTGCTAACCGCAACGCACCTCTCTTGTCCCACGTTTCTAGCAGCCCGTTCACGAATGCCAAAGACACTTGATCCACATTCCAACGCTCCCAGAGCTGGAATTGACCGTGTTTGGGAACCCTGGACTCTCTCTCCGCGACCGTCGTGACTGCCGACACGTCGGACTAATCGGACGCCCTGTACCGCACCGGCTCTTGCAGGAGCTTGCGAAACAGCCGGTGGAAGCGCTGGATCTTTGGAAGCCGCTCTTCGCAAGACTTGTTCTTGAGGTTGGTCCGGCGTCTTTTGGACAGGTTATGCCTCTTGGCCCATTTTCGCGCCCACCTGAAGGATGCGCGGCAGGACGCTACTCGTTGATCCCCAGGGTACATCTCTCGCACGAGCTTCCGGAACGTGATCGTCAGCCACAGGGTCGACACCTCCAGCTTTCTCTTCCGCCGCTCCACGAACCCCTTGTACAGTCACTGCTCTGCCTCAGGAAACTACCGCTTAGGCTGCTGTTTGGTGAGGAGGCTCTTCTTTACGTCATCGGCTGCCGCCGTGACCAATTCCTTCTCGTTCTTGGCCCACTTCACCATATTGCTGTAGGGAATCTTGAGACGATCCTCCAAGAACTAAAGAGGCGTGCGCTGCTCCTCCTTCCAGAGGTCTTCGGCGTTGTCCTGGAGGATGCGCAGCTGGTTGACCGCGTGGGCTTTGAACCTGAAGTCGTATCGCCTGCTCTCGGGAGCCCCACGAGTGTCCTTGGGTTTGCGGTCCATAAAGCCGTCGCTATCCAAGTCGAGATCGAGAAAGCGCTTCCGCTGGAGGACAAACGAAGCCGTCCCCGTCGCATGATCGAACTTCACGTGCCAACAACGCCCAGGCCCGGCTGCTTCCCGCGGCAGGACACTCCCTCCGACATCCTTCCGTAACATGCGCCGCAGCCGCACGCCGTTGGACATGTTTTCACTGCTGTGCTGCGTTCTCACGTGGACCCCAAGGCCTTGCTCGTTCACGAAGGTCATGGGACAGTGAGGACAAGATCGGCGGGACTCCGGGGTCGGAGGTGGGAAGCTTGTACCGGATATGAGCTCTTTCACTCCACCGCGAGTCCGCTCAATCTGCATGGCAAGGTGGAAGCAGGGCGGAGTTGCCGGGGGGGTGATTCAACGAGTAACGTCATGTATCGTTTGCTATGGAGTGTGGCGCTTTCGACCTCGAACCTCCGTGGAGAGCCGAAAGCTGTCTGTTTCGTTCGTGACTATTCAAACTAAGTGTCAAGCAGAGAACGTGCACTGTTGTGACGCCCTTACAAAGTCGCCGGCATCCAAACAAGAATATCTGTCTCCAATNGGGCGGAGTTGCCGGGGGGGTGATTCAACGAGTAACGTCATGTATCGTTTGCTATGGAGTGTGGCGCTTTCGACCTCGAACCTCCGTTGAGAGCCGAAAGCTGTCTGTTTCGTTCGTGACTATTCAAACTAAGTATCAAGCAGAGAACGTGCACTGTTGTGACGCCAAAACAAAGTCGCCGGCATCCAAACTACAATATCTGCCTACACTATAATCTTTTAATGTTCTGGTCTTGCTTGAAAAAAAGGGGGATGAACGAAAAATATTTCTTATCATGTCTACACAGCAGCAGAATTCCACGAATCTGAAAAAGGCACAACTTTCCGGAGTATTTGCACCGGAGTTGGCTCTTGCCAGCAGACGCAGTTGACGAGAACTCGACACTCCTCCACTTGCTTGGGCACCTACAGCAAGAAACGGCGTGCGAAACGCAGTCGTTGCCAGCAGAGGCCAGTCCCAAAACTACGAACTCTCTCCTTTTTTGTTTTATTACGCGCCGCTACTGAAAAAAATGGCCCTCATCATGTCATCGGTTTCACGGGAGTTTTTCTTGAAANTTCTTTTAATGTTCTGGTCTTGCTTGAAAAAAAGGGGGATGGACGAAAAATTTATCTTATCATGTCTACACATCAGCAGCATTCCACGAATCTGAAAAAGGCACAACTTTCCGGAGTATTTGCACCGGAGTTGGCTCTTGCCAGCAGACGCAGTTGACGAGAACTCGACACTCCTCCACTTGCTTGGGCACCTACAGCAAGAAACGGCGTGCGAAACGCAGTCGTTGCCAGCAGAGGCCAGTCCCAAAACTACGAACTCTCTCCTTTTTTGTTTTATTACGCGCCGCTACTGAAAAAAATGGCCCTCATCATGTCATCGGTTTCACGGGAGTTTTTCTTGAAAAACGAAAATAGTGTATGTAGACTACACCGGTAGCGAAAAGTAATTGTGTGCTCACCGGTCCTCGGCTGCCAATCGCGAACGGGTTGCAGATGTTGCCGCCTAAAGTGCCTTTGGCAGCTTTCTCCCTAGCTTGCTTCCCGCGATTCACGGCCTTTCTTCTCGCGGTACCTGCAGCAGCAGGTGGGTGCTGAGACGGCGGTGCAGCACCTCGCGCGCTGCCGGCATCTTGTTGGGATGAAGCGGACAGGCGGGTGCTGCCGGTAATATCCTGCGTTTCGCCGTCAATCTGCGTCACCTACTCTTCTTCGTCGACGACACCGTTCTGCTTCAGCCCCCACGCGCTCTCGATGGCGTCCCATCGCTCCTTCGCAACGGAGTTGCCCGCGTTCACGTGTGCTTTGATTGTCTCGAAGTGACGGTCAAGAATCAGACTCCTTTGTTTCAACTCTGCAAGTTTGCCAAGCTCTTTCAATATCCCATGGGATAAGGGATTGCACTAGGACATGATCCCCCTGCACCGCAGGCAGCTCGTGGCACGCTGCACGTTGCGTGGCACGCACGCTTCTCTCGGGGGCACCCAGGGGCACGACGCGTGCGTACAATGCCCACCCTCCCCCTCTAAAAAAATACTCCAAATATTGATGTGTGGGGTATGTACCCCTCCCAAATCCAATACTCTCTACTTTAGGATCACTCCCCCCTCTTCCCTCCCTGCCCCTGCGAGTATTCTTATCTGGCAGCCGCTGCATTGCTGTCGTTCTTATTTGTGGCATCAATTTTGCACCTCAGGTGTGTGTGTGTTCTTGTTCCTAACAGGGCGTGCAGCTGAGCACGTGTACTTATCTTTGTTGGGATTTGTATGCAAGAACTGACTCTATTCTACTGCATGGGTTTTGTGCAGTATTGTGAAGGCGTGTCTCCAAGTCTGTAACCGTCAGGTGAAGACAGCTTGGGCGCCTGTGTTTTGGATCGAATGATCACTCTGTGTTGTNGCGAGTATTCTTATCTGGCAGCCGCTGCATTGCTGTCGTTCTTATTTGTGGCATCAATTTTGCACCTCAGGTGTGTGTGTGTTCTTGTTCCTAACAGGGCGTGCAGCTGAGCACGTGTACTTATCTTTGTTGGGATTTGTATGCAAGAACTGACTCTATTCTACTGCATGGGTTT